CCGAGCCCCTGGATGGAGGCGCCCGAGCTGCGACACTTACACCTGCAACGAACGAACAGCACGGATCCGTCCGAGCAATCGAACGCAACATTGCGGTGGCCTAGAACATCCTGTTCCGAGGCATGTAAGCGCGATGATTCGGAGCAGTAGGCAGGGGGTGGCTTCTCGTAAGGAACCCCTGCCGTGAGGACACTTGGCGCACCCCAGGCGCCTGACCACCACTCCCAGCGGTGACCAGGGTGATGCACCGCCCTGGGTTGTTTGGCATCGGGCGACATCCACGGGTACCCTGACAAGTCCAGCCTTGGCCACAGAGGCAGCACGTTCGCCGCCAAACCGCAGACAGACTTCATCTTCGTGATGCGGCGATTCAGCTGCTGAGTCTCGGCCTCTGAGGCTCCAGGGTGCGCCGCTGCTCCCAGCGTGTCATTGCCAGTGCGTCTCCAGCGTTCACTGGCACTGATGCCCCCCTCACGTGGGTCTGAGAGGACTTTTGCCACCTCGACGGAGCGAGCGAACCCAGACCACCACGGGCCGCTTGTAGCTGAACTGCACTGCGGTCATACTGGCACACTGCTTGACCACATTCCGCAGTCGCTATAGAAGGTGGTAGTGCTTGCAGCCTGCATACCTCCTCTCTAGCAGTCCCAGCAAGCTCGGCACATTGGGGTGTTGGAGTGAACAGTACGCTCACAGGCTCAAACAAGGCGGCCGACTCTGCTTCCCTTGCCGCTAAGACGCGCGAGCCCGCAGTCAGCTCCCAACAGTTCTGCAATTTCGTTCCCGTGGCTGCCGCCAGCTACGAGCATGGTCCCTGCGAGCTTGCCAACGTCTTGGGCCTCGTACTCATCCCAAACCATCTGGGCCTGGAACACTCCATCATCCGAAGCTGGATGTGGATCAGAGTCGCCAAGGTGGGGGAGCATGCCTCTGGTGTAAAGCAGCACGGCCTCGGGGTCGGATAGTTTCACATCAGCGATCTCCGCAATACATCTGGTTTGACTAACTCCTCCTCTGCCTCCTCGTCGTCGTCCTCCTCCTCCTCCTCCCCCTCTTGCGCGCCACAAGCGGTGAAACTCAGCGTCCCCGCACTGTCCACACATTGGGCAACCATTCTCGACCTGCTGGTACACCGCCTTGATGGCCCTCGAATGGATCCACAGAGCCTCGCACGTAAACCTGCTGAACCTACCTTTCCCTTCGACCGAACTTTTAGACGCGCGAAGCCTATTACGCCCAGTATTCCAGGCTGTGGGCCCCTTCCAGAATATGTGCAACTCTTACTGCAGAGAACTCGCAGGGACCTCAGGACACTCCAACTCGTGCCTCAGGGCAGGGACATCGCCCCACAACCATCCGAAAGGGCTTCCAGGCAGTCCAAGAGAGCCCCAAAACGGCACAACACGGGTCCAAGATGGCACTCAGAGAGCCCCATGGCGGCCCAAGATGGCCCTAAGACACCCTCCGAAGCATTCCAAATCGTGACCCGGTCGTTTAGGGAGACCGCGGTTGGAGGCAGGTTGGCCCGAGGAAGTCCAGTCGCCAGAGACCCCCAGAATACGCCCAGGAGGCCTCCAGAAGGCCTTAAGAAAGCCTGAAACAACTTTTGTGAAGCCCCCAGAGGCTCTCCAAGGAGGATCCTCCGCAAAAAAGAGCTGAGGGGGATGGGGAGAATGCAGGGTACGGCGAAAGTAAAGAAAAAGAAGCATGGAGGAAGGATGACGAACAAAAAATAGTTATAGCGGCGATGCCGGAAAAGGCAACAAGGAGTTGTCTCTAAATTGTCGGCTTGACCTTCCTGCTATTCCGCCTGCATACCAAACTTCAAGGACCAAGGAGCATGGCGCGAAGCGCCACTGCAGTCTTGTGTGTGTATATATATATATATATATCCAGTTTTTCCTATGTGGAAGATGTCCCCCCTCCACCCAACGCGGTGGCATGGGAGACCACCCAGCCTACGGAAAGGCTGCGCACAAAGGTGTCGCTTGACGAAGTGGCGCTCGCTCAGGCCTAGCGTCTGCGAGCCCTCGTATGCACGCTTCTGAATTGATTCGTCTGCATAGGTTTTCGGCCTAGCTTGATCGTATATCTATCTATCTATCTATCTATCTATCTATCTATCTATCTATCTATCTATCTATCTATCTATCCATCGGGGTACCGGGGCGGGGGCCCTCGCCCAGCTGCCCCCGGTCGCCATGCTGGCCTCAGGTCCCCCGGAGAGTCCCGGCCGTGCCGCTTACCTGCCTAGAGAGGCCCAGGACGAGTCCGGAGTGCCCCCACAGGCCCCCAAGACATCCCCAGAGGCCCCCAGAACGACCAAGGCCCAAGAGGCCCGCCAGGACACCCCAAGACGGCCCAAGAGGCCCCACAGACGCTCCCAGGATGGCCCAAGAGACACCCAAGACAGCCCAAGAAGACCCCAAGGCGGCCCCAAGAGGGGCCCTGGAGGACGACGAAACATTTAAAAAAATAGTTTTCCGCCCCGAGGGGGCCCCCGGAGGCTCCAAGACGGCCCGAAGAGGTCCCAGGGCCTCAAGAGTCCCCAAGGAGATCCGAAGAGACTCCAAGAGGCCTCCAAAAGATTCCAAGAGACGACAAATACAGGCCCCCAGAGACCCCCAAGAGACCCTCAAGAGCCCCCATGGAGCCTTCAGGCCAACACAAACCGAGGAGGCCCCGCCCCACCCGCGCGAGGCCTTTCTTCGCCCCCATGTTCCGGACAAGGCTCTCCGGAACATGGGAAAAGTATCATGCGCCGCCGACATCGACGACGACGATCGCGCAAGGTACAGAGGGCAGGGGTCCAGGGTCGAGGGTGCGAGCGAATAGGGCGCCAGAGCGCATGAGAATGATCAGAGGCCCTCCCATGTTCTGGCGTGGGAGCAGGCCCCGCCGCCTTCGTGGCAAGAATCCCCCCCTTTCGCGCCCAGGCCGCGCCCACAACTAGAACCTGAGCGCGCGCGAAGCGCGCGCGAAGGTTGTAGTATATACATATAACGGCGCACCGGGTCCGGGGGCCCGGGGCCGGGACCTCGACCACAAATGTGGGCTCCGGGGGGCCCGGAGGCTCGTCGGGGCTTGCCGGAGGCCTCCCCGGTCAGACAAGACGGCCCCAGGAGCGCCCAAGACGGCCCAAGAAACTTCCAAGAGGCCTCCAAGAGGGCTCCGAGATGCTGAAGATGGCCTCCAGACGTCCAAGGACGCCCCCAAGAGGCCCCAAGAAGCCTCCAACATGCGTCCCAAGAGGGCCCCTAGACGCAAAAATTGGCCCATTCCCTTCGTAAAACGTACATTTTCAACAAAGTTGTCTTTTGGGCTTTCCGACGTTACAGGACGGCCCAAGAGGCGCCCAAGACCGCCCCAAGACGGCCCAAGAAGCTTCCAAGAGGGCCCCAGGACAGCCCAAGAGGGCCCCAAGACGGCCCAAGAGGCGCCCAAGATGGCCCAAGAGGGCCCCAAGACGGGCCCAAGAGGGGGCCCAGAGGGGGACCACGAACCGCAAGCTCGAGCCTTCCGCCCCAAGAGGCCGCCAGGAGGCCCCCAGGAGGCCCCTCAAGAGGCCCCAGGAGACCCCAGACGTCCAAGGACGCCCCCAAGAGGCCCCAAGAAGCCTCCAACATGCGTCCCAAGAGGGCCCCTAGACGCAAAAATTGGCCCATTCCCTTCGTAAAACGTACATTTTCAACAAAGTTGTCTTTTGGGCTTTCCGACGTTACAGGACGGCCCAAGAGGCGCCCAAGACCGCCCCAAGACGGCCCAAGAAGCTTCCAAGAGGGCCCCAGGACAGCCCAAGAGGGCCCCAAGACGGCCCAAGAGGCGCCCAAGATGGCCCAAGAGGGCCCCAAGACGGGCCCAAGAGGGGGCCCAGAGGGGGACCACGAACCGCAAGCTCGAGCCTTCCGCCCCAAGAGGCCGCCAGGAGGCCCCCAGGAGGCCCCTCAAGAGGCCCCAGGAGACCCCAGACGTCCAAGGACGCCCCCAAGAGGCCCCAAGAAGCCTCCAACATGCGTCCCAAGAGGGCCCCTAGACGCAAAAATTAGCCCATTTTTCACATTTTCACAAAGTTGTCTTTTGGGCTTTCCGACGTTACAGGACGGCCCAAGAGGCGCCCAAGACCGCCCCAAGACGGCCCAAGAAGCTTCCAAGAGGGCCCCAGGACAGCCCAAGAGGGCCCCAAGACGGCCCAAGAGGCGCCCAAGATGGCCCAAGAGGGCCCCAAGACGGGCCCAAGAGGGGGCCCAGAGGGGGACCACGAACCGCAAGCTCGAGCCTTCCGCCCCAAGAGGCCGCCAGGAGGCCCCCAGGAGGCCCCTCAAGAGGCCCCAGGAGACCCCAGACGTCCAAAGACGCCCCCACGACGCTTCGCGTCACCAATTTCTTCTCACAACGATTCCTGGGTCTGTGACTCGACAGAAAGTAAGCGCGCGAAGCGCGCGCGTGGTTCTAGTATATATATATATGTATACATAGATACACGTAAGGGCATTGCCCCTATGCCGCAGGCCCCCCTCTCTCTCTTAGAATGGGACTTGCCAGAGCTGTGTTGGGATGTCTGGACGCTGACGTGAAGCAATGTTCACGCGAGGGCCAATATTAAGTTACAAGGGTTTATGATTTCGGTGGCGCGAACATTAGGTAATTTACGATGGTTTATGGCTTCGGGGGCGCGGGTATTGCGTAACTTACGAAGGCTTTTGGCCTCGGGGACGCAAGTATTGTGCTTTTTATGAGGGTATATGGCCCTGGGGACGCGAATCTGATGTAATTTACAAGGGCTTATTGCTTCGGAGACGCGAGTATGGTATACTTTGCGAGGGTGTGTGGCCTCGGGGACGCAAACATGGTGTAAATTACGAAAGTTTATGGCCCTGGGAACGCGAATATTGTTTAATTTTCGAAAATTGATGGTTTCGGGGGCGCGAGTATTCCGTAATTTACGTGGGTTTATGGTCTCGGGGGCTCGAACATTCTATAATTATGAGGGTTTCTTGCTTCGGGGACCGAACATTGAGTAATTTCCTAAGGGCTATGGCTTCGGGGAGGCGAGCATCGTGTAAATTATAAGGATTTGTGGCCTCGGGGACGCAAATAGGGGGTAATTTACGAGTGATTATGGCCTCGGGGGCGCAAATATGAGGTATTTTCACGTGTCCCACGCCCCCCCAGGAATTCAGACAACGCGATTCGGGGACGCTAACCAGGACGCTTTTGGGTTCCCCCCCCTCGGGCGTTCAGCAACAGCTAAGAGTAAGGAAGCAGGAAGCAGGACTGTAACAGTGGAAACTGGAAACTGCAACTGGCACAGGGAGCTGCAATCCTCACCCTCGCAGCCTGGTGGCCCCGCCAGGGGGCTGGCATATATGTATATATATGTATATATATAAAGATCAATCGATCGTATATTTAGTATATCTATGTATGTATCCATGCACACATTTATTATATTCACACATATTTGTATATTAGATACCGAAGAAAAGCCCCAATCATAATCTTTCTAGGGCTACAGGGCTATAGGGCTATAGGGTTATAAGGCTATAGTGCTATAGGGCTATAGGGCTATAGGGCGATAAGGCTATAGGGCTATAGGACTATAGGGTCATAGGGCTATAGGGCTATAGGGCTACAGGGCTAGGGCTATAGGGCAATATGGCTATAGGGCTATAGGGCTACAGGGCTATAGGTCTATAGGGCTACAGGGCAATCGGGCACCCGGGCACCCGGGCACCCGGGCGTGCCGCCGAAGTTGGCGCCGCAGCTGACCTAACCATATGAATTCGCTAGGACCCCTACAGAGGCAAGTTCTGATTGGGAAGTGTATATATATATATATATATATATATATATATAATACCCGTGTCTTTTGTCTGATTTGGACTGTGAACGAGCCCAAGTTCGCAGGTACCTTCGTACCCCGGTGTCCTTTCTGTGGTATTGATTTTGTCTAGAGATTGTGCCTTCTCGCGCACGTCTCTGACTCTCGACGGCCTCGATGCCGCGAGTGGATTCTATCGAATCTCTCGCCAATGTCTGAGGCAGAAGTCTCCCGCCTTGAAGCTGAAGATAAGCGTCTCCGTCGAGAGGCTCAAAGGGCAGGCCGAAGTCATCATATAGCTGTGGTGCCTGGTGGAAAAATCACTGGCCGGGTGAATCTGTAAGCCCATGCACGCATCATCTTGAGACTACCAACCTTGCGGCATATATACATATATACATATATATATATATATATTATATGTTGTATATTATTTGTGTGTATACATATAACGGCGCACCGGGTCCGGGGGCCCGGGGCCGGGACCCCGACCACAAATGTGGGCCCCGGGGGGCCCGGAGGCTCGTCGGGGCTTGCCGGAGGCCTCCCCAGTCAGACAAGACGGCCCAAGAAGCGCCCAAGACGGCCCAAGAAACTTCCAAGAGGCCTCCAAGAGGGCTCCAAGATGCTGAAGATGGCCTCCAGACGTCCAAGGACGCCCCCAAGACGCCCCAAGAAGCCTCCAACATGCGTCCCAAGAGGGCCCCTAGACGCAAACATTGGCCCATTCCCTTCGTAAAACGTACATTTTCACAAAGTTGCTTTTTGGGCTTTCCGACGTTACAGGACGGCCCACGAGGCGCCCAAGACCGCCCCAAGACGGCCCAAGAAGCTTCCAAGAGGGCCCAAGGACAGCCCAAGAGGGCCCCAAGACGGCCCAAGAGGCGCCCAAGATGGCCCAAGAGGGCCCCAAGACGGACCCAAGAGGGGGCCCAGAGGGGGACCACGAACCGCAAGCTCGAGCCTTCCGCCCCAAGAGGCCGCCAGGGGGCCCCAAGGAGGCCCCTCAAGAGGCCCCAGGAGACCCCCAAGAGGCCCAAAGGAGGCCCCGAGAAGCCCCAAATCGACCCCCAAAATGCTTAGAACCTGCTTCCAGGAGGCCCCCGACAGGTTCAGAGGCTCCCGAGAAGCTACGTCAAACTCCCAGCGAGAATGATCCTAGCTAGAACCTAAGCGCGCGCGAAGCGCGCGCGTGGCTCTAGTATATATATATATATGTGTATGCTTATATATCTACATACACATCTAAACAAGTGTAAAAAACACGGGATCGCCCCCGCCTCGGCTATACCATCTTTATCGGCAACTTGTCTTGCGACCACAACTTGTCGTGAGACGCTCCGGGCTACCCTCGCTGGGTAATGTATATATATAGTATTGTCAGTATGCGTCTATATCAGCATACTTTGTAATCTATATCTATATGTATGTATGCAGCTGTATATATATATATATATATATAGAGTGGTATCTGGGCAAGTAGTTTGACAGGACTGCGGGTGCCTGAACTGGGCGGCAACCTATTACGATCAGAAGGCTGCCCCACCTTGGAGCGGCTCTGGCTCCACCGCAGCGCACGAAGGTTCTGAGTGATTGTCCATCGGCGTATTTGCAGCACATCTCTTCTGGATCACGAAAAGTCTGCGAATGCTGGTTTGAGGAGCGCGATCGGTGTTTTACGAGAGTCCAGCTGGTTGGACGTGTCATGTGAGAGTTGCATGGTCGTTGCATGTGTGCAGACATGTTCGCGAAGCTTGGATCGTAATGTTGGACGTGCTCGATGTCGCCTTGGATCTCGCGCTTCCATTTTCCAACCACCGTGCAACATATGTTTGATGACAGCGTTTTTCCTGTGAGCTCATGCTCTGTTTAGCCCCCTCGCGTTTTTTTATTTTGTCGTCGTTCCGCTCACTTGTCGTGCTATCCCCATCAGCGTGCTTTTGCATGTTCTTGGTAGGTAGTTGTCCTTCGTGCGTGATTGCGGTTTCTCTTGCGCAAAGGCCTTTTGCGGAAGGGCCAATGAGCTGTATTTCCTCGCCAAGCACGGCTTCAATAATGGTTACGCTGCGACAGAGCCCATCACTGGTTTGCCTCATAAGGTCCGCACGACTTTTTGTCTCTTGGCATCCCATCTAGATACGATGAAGATATCTAGGACGACATGCGCGCGTATATTTATGCGATGTTATGTATACATATAGCTTCCATCGAATAGCTTGAGCCGCATAATTCCATCCCACATATTGACAACAGATCGCGCACCACATGGCTTGCAGCACATACGTGTGTATGTATGTAGATATACATGAACGCATGCATGAATGCACGTTTGTGTGGGTATGTCTGTATACGAACATCTCTGTATGTACGTATGCATGTCTAGGTGTCTCTGTATACCTGTATGTATGTATGCACACGAATATATGATGTATACATTTCTCTATGTATGTATGCATATATGTATGTACGCATGTATGCATGAACATGTGTGTTGTATGCATGCATGTATGTATGCATGAATGCATGCATGAATGCGTGTGTGTGTATGCATGCATGCATGCATGCATGTATGTATGTATGTATGTATCTATGTATATGTGTATATATGTATGTAGGTATGAATGTGCGTCTGTATGCACGTATGTATGTACGTATGTACGTGTGTATGCATGCATGCATGTATGTACGTATGCATGCATGCATGCATGCGTGCATGTATGCATGTATTTATGTGTGTATGTATCTACACATGTATGTATGGATGCATGCATGTATGTATCTATAGATCTATGAATCTATGTATACGTGAATGTATGTATGTATGTATGCATGCATGCATGCATGTATGTATGTATGTATGTATGTATGTATGTATGTATGTACGTGTGTACACAAGCACGTACGTATGCACGAATGCATGAATTCATGGATTAATGCATGTATGTATGGAAACGTGTATGTGTGTATGCATGCATGTATGTGTGTACATGTGTGTATGCACACATGCATGCATGCATGCATGTACGTATGTATGTACGTATGTATGTATGCATGCATGCATTTATGTATGTATGTATATGCACATATTTATATTTACATTTACATATACATATACATATACTTATACTATATATATGCACATCTAGATGTGTATATAGATATATACACATACATATACATGCATACATACACACATATATATATATATATATATATATATATACATACATACAGACATACACACCGGGGTTCCCGCGTCGCTGGCCAGGCCCCAGGGGCACAGACAACATCTCCGAGGTACGCTTTTGTTACCGCCCTCCCAGGCGTCCAAGACGGCCCGTGTCAGCCCCAGAAGGCTGCAAAAGGATTTCCCGAAGATCTCCCCAGGACGGGCCAAGAACGCTTACGACCGCCCCCAGACAGTCCACGGGTGCCCACGGGAGGTCAAAATCCTTCAAATGAAGGTCTCAAGATGGATTTGAAGTTGCCCCGGAGCTTCCCAAGGACGCCCCCTGAGAGCTTAAATTGTAGAACAAATTGTATGTTTCATTTTTTGCGGCTCTTGGGAGCCTCCAGCTGTCTCCAAGATCGCCTAGCAAAGCTCCAGGAGAGGCCCAACACGGGCCCAAGATGCTCCAAGAGGACTCCAAGATGGCCCCAGGACGGCCCAAAACATAGGCGCCCACGACGCCCCAAGAGAGCCCGAGGAGGCTCCCAAGAGGCTCCCAAGTTGCCCCGACGCGATCCCCGAACGGCACTCGGATCGCTCTCGGCGCCTGTGTGGACCCCGGAGCACCCCGGAGCACCCCAGAGGACCCCAAGAGGCTCCCAAGAGGTCCCCAAGAGGCTTCCAAAGGGCCCCCAAGAGGCTCCCAAGAGGCCCCCAACAGACGCCCAAGCGGCCCCCAAGAATCCCCCGAACGGCCCCCGAGAGACCACAATATTCTGGTTATACGCCTCAAATTGAAGACACTTCCATTCCAGAAGACATACAAACACCCTCATCCTCACTCCTGCTCCTCCTCCTTTATGCTTGCAGAAGTTTAAGCGCGGAGTGAAGCTGCCTTTTGAATGCCACTCAGGTTCAAGGGTCAACTTTGAAGTGCGATGCGTTGACCTTCGGATTCGTCCTCTCCCCTCTCTTGGTCATTCTCCCTCGTCCTTCTGTCTTCCCTTCGGCGTTCAAGTCCGCCCTTCTCCGCAGGCCTCGCCGCTCGGCAATCAAAGACTTGAGCTCCTTGTCAATGTCGTTGGACGTCCGCGCCCTGGCCGGCACAGGAAGGACTTCCTCCAGCGCGCTCACCATGCATCTTTCCATCTGTTCCGCTTTCTCAGAAGATGTGACTCCTCTTGTCCGCTCACGCTCGAACTTCGCATCCAAAGTCTCGCCGTACAATTTGGCATCAACTGCCGAACTCCAAGTGCTATGCCTCTTCCGCGCCAGAACTGTCTCCGGCGGGCGCACAGAAATGCGTAACTCGACCGGTCTGTGGTCAGAGCTGGTGTCCAACCATTGGCACACCCTGCAGAAGAAACGACGGCTGGAGATAAGCAAAAGCATCAAGAAACTCATTCAACGCAGGCTGAAAGAAACGCGGGAGGCACGCATCGGCAGAATTCTGACAGACTTCCGAGGCATATCGGGGCTCGCTGGGGTGGGAGGGCCCGTGAAGAAACCTCACATCGCAGCCATCACAGATGGCGCTGGCGTTCAGCACGTAGATCGAAGCAGTATTTCAGAGGTGTTCGCTTGCTTTTACGAGAAGCTCTACACCGGCAGGAGCAGTGCAAGGAGCACTCACAACTCTGCTGCAGAAGCAATTCCGCCTTTCACGCTGGAAGAATTAGACGAGGCATAAAAGCTTTAAAATGTGGCAAATGCAAACACGAGTCTGGAGTGGTTGCGGAAATACTGAAGGCGTCCAGTGCCATTTTCCGCAATGCTGTTCTCGATTTGTTCAACAACGTGACGCAGCCGGGCGCGGCGCTGCCGGAAACGTGGACGAGAACGCGGCTCGTTGTATTATTCAAAAAAGAAGACCCTTTATTTCCAAAGAACTCTAGGCCCATAGCTATTTTGCCAATCCTGTACAAATTGTTTGCCCGGATGTTGTGCGACAGACTCCAACCAGCAATTGTTTCTGCACAGAGCCCGGACGAGGCGGCATACCGGAAGGGGTATTCGACAATTGACCATTTACTCACACTCACGCTGCTCGCTGAAGGATGTGAGGAGTGGAACCAATCGCTGTGGATAGCCCTCGTGGATTTTGAAAGAGCGTTCGATACTGTAGAACACTCTGCGCTGTGGGAGGTACTTCGCGTATTAGGCGTAGACGCCACTTATATTTCTTTGGTGCAGAAGCTGTACTGCCATCAGTCAGCCGCGGTCGCGGCGGGAGAAGAGTCGAGGAGATTTGATTTATCTCGCGGTGTGAAACAAGGAGACCCGATATCAGTATTGTTGCTCATAGCTGTGATGGAAGTATGCTTTCGTGCACTCAAGAAGAGATGGCGCGGGCTAAATCAGCGCAGGACTGGACCGTATTATGGTTTTGTCATTGACTCTGTGGATGACCCGCTGACGAATTTACGGTTTGCAGACGACGCCCTTTTATTGCCGAGCAGCAAATCCGACGTGGTGAAAATGCTCAGGGACTTGACTCAGGAGGCTTCCCGGTATGGACTTGTTGTTCATTTCGGGAAAACAAAGATTCTTAAACATTCTGCTGACAGTTGTTCACTGACAGTGCAAGTATCTGGAGAGCATGTCGCTATTGTAAAACCAGGTGCATCGGAACGGCATTTGGGAATTCAGCTGTCTCTTTATGATTTTCACGACAAGGAGCTCACACATCGATAGTCGTCTGCTTGGAGGGCATTCGCCAAGTTCAAGCACGTTCTATGTTCTCGGTCGTACCCGCTGAGGAAGCGCTTGCGGCTGTTCGACAGCGTCGTGAGCCCGGTCGCGTTGTATGCGTGTGAATGCTGGACGCTGGATGCTACGTCCAGAAACAGACTCAGAGTCGCGTGGAGAAAGATGCCCCGGAGCATGTTTCGCACGGCCAGGGCCGCGGGCGAAACGCACGTGGAGAGCATCGAGCGCTCGACCAGGAGGATAGAGGAGCATCGTTCCAATTTTCGCATCACAAACTGGGTGTCCATCCAACGCACTCGCAAATCTGCGCTCGCAGCCCGCGTCTGCTTCGACGCCGAGAACAAGTAGAGCAAACAACTGTTGCTCTGGACGCCGTGGTTCCGGACGGAAGCCAAACGATGTCAAGGGCGACTTCGTCTGAGATGGAGAGATTCGTTGGATGCGTGGGCGGCCTTCCATGCACGCGTTGCACTTGATGCATTTTCCTAATTGCCATGCGCGCGTCTGCCCCTCAGGGGGCCGCTCCGGCTACCTGAGCCGGCACGCAGACTTCCTGTCCTGTCCTGTCCTCTTGCCCCCCCCTTTCGATGTTCCTGTAGAGGCCTTCCCTCGCCTCCGACCCCGACAACCTCAAGGCTGGGGAATGCGCCCCTGTGGGTCGCGGCCGTCTGGCCGCCGCTGGCGGGGTCATCGAAGTGCTGGTCAAGAACGCGGCTGACGTTCATGCTTTGAGCGCCGCCCTTCGCAATGAGGCCATCCAGGTCGGTCAGGACCTTCTCCACACTAAGGTAGGCAATGACATGTTGGAGCTGGACATCGAGCCGGGGAACGCCCTAGGGGCACGGGGATAGGTGCCCCCCGTGTCCATGCCGCCGACAGGCACCGCTCATGGGGTGCGAGGTCTGGAGCTGACCACGGACTTCCTTGCAGTGACGAGTTGGGCTACTCGGGCTTCGCCGTGTTCGTCGTCTTCCACGGCCACTTGGGCGGCTCCACGCTTTCCGCGCCGTCGTGGTCAGACCGCCAGCCGACGGATCCCATCAGTCTTAACTCTACTGAGGGTTCCTCAGAGGTTTCTTCTACCCCTCGGTCTTCTTCTACGCCTCCTCGGTGTCCTCGTTCTTCGCCGTACCTGGCACCCGATGGGCATGCTGCTCACCGTCTTCCTCGTCTGCTGTTCTCCGCCGACGAGTTTCTCCCCGCGCAGACGTTTGACCGCGC